AGAGATGGAAAAAGTTAATTTCACATGCATGTCTCTGGACTGTTGGAGGAAGTTGGTGTGTCCTAGAGAACTCAACACAGGCCTCTGCTAGAGCATGGATTTGATTTTTTTGGATAGCCTCTGCACTCCATACAGTTTACTCAGCAAAACTTTTCAAAACAGACTTAAAAACTCAAGAACAGTCAAAAGAAGCTGAGAATTACACATTAAAGGGGGGATACAACATAGAGTCTCAGTCATACACGTTGTTCCCTGAATAATACAGGAAAAAGAGAGCTTAGACTAGCTGAATCACTTTCACCGCCTTTTTATTAGGTTCATTTAAAGCATTTGCCCTCTGAACGGGCACATCAGCTACTAAACTGTTGTGCGTTTAAAAATAAAATAAAAAAACATTGGTCAAAGCAAGGCGAGCAGGTGGTCTGTAACAGCTCACCAAGTTACACATTATGAATCCCACTACGGTCACTGCACATGTGGACTGGGCTTCCATGTAAACATTAACCGCTTCCCTCCCTCGGTTTAGCATTCCACAGGGTGTTCAGTGACAGCAGAGACGTAGCACCTTCACTGTTAATCTGTCATGAGCATGCCAACCAGCAGCCCTGTTACTAATGCCACTCCAACAAATAGCCATCTCTTCAGAGACTCCCCAGAGCTCCTTGTAGACATCCCTTTCCCAAATATCTCTGTAAAGCGGTCCTGGAAAAAAAGATTAGACAGTGTTTTAAATGACTTTTCCCACCCTTTTAAAGCCCAAAAGTTGCACACCTCATGTCAACTTCATCCCCTGCTGACTTACCCATCCTCCATTTCGTTGGATCCACAGACTAATGTGATCATCTAGATACGCAGTCATCCAGTCTGCAATGTCGGGTACCAGCTCACTCATATTGCTGTCAATACAGTCCAGACACATTGCAGAACCAAAGACAAACAGACCAATTATACGCCCCCAATTAATTCCATCCCTGAACAACTCCTCCATCACACTCTTGAAGCATTGCTGGGCTGTGTCTGGTGTGATGCAGAGGTGCGAAGCAACGTCCCTAAAAGACTGTGTGAACAGAAAACCAAACTGCTCCCCTGAGTCTAGAAGAGCTGATTTTAAAACCTCTATGCCATTGTACGCAGGCAGGGATTTGGCCAGGTCTCTCTCAGTCCTTTGGCCCCCATTGGTTGGCCTCAGAAGGGAAGTTGGGTGATTCTTCTGAGACAGTTTATAGCTTATAAAGAACTCCACCAGCTCTCGGTTACTGCACTGCATCTTCACTCTGGACCTCCTCTGCAGGGCCAGGCTAATCAAATGCCACGATCTCTCCTGCCAGTCATACCGGTGTATCATCTGGCACATTAGGCTTCACTTGGAGTGGCCACCTGGAAGCACAGACGGATATTGCAGTTAGCTTCATTCTTTTAAAAATTGAGCAACTCCTGCAACTGTGTTTTAGCATCCATCTCTATTGATTATAGTCTTTACTCTTCACCAATTGTAAAAAAAAAAAAAAAAAAAAAGTAAACTTACGTATGAGGAAACAACTGCAACTGTGGCAGAAATTTGGAAAATAACGTTTCATGCGAGATAACCGCAGCTAACTAGTAGTTTTTCAAGCTTAGCCCTGAGCTGTTCACCAGCATCACTTCTATACCAGAGCCTCTGAATGCCAGCTAACCATCGCTGACAGCTCCAGCTAGGAAGTCGCACGCTTGGATTCTACCAGTTTTAGCTTCACGTGCTAACCAGCTGCCACACACTCCGCATGAAACGCAGCAAAATTAGAAAAAAAAAACGAAATCAATAAACAACCAAAAATTCTATTTAAGCCGTGAACATGTGGCGCCTCCACTCACCATTATACCTAGAGCTGCTAAAACCTTGTTCTCCGTTTGAGAAAGCAGCTATGAAGTTTTAAAAACTACTGCTGCGAATACTCCAGACAAACGCACCTTTCTGAAGCGTCACACTTTGTGGCCTGGGTAGGCGGTTGGACAGTTGTACGGTAGCAGCAGCCAGAAGTCCCACCCACTCATACAAAGCGACCAATCAAATAAGGAGACATTCCGGAAATTAGGAAGTCGCTGAAATTTCATTTAAAAACATGCAGCTGCATCTGTTGTGACACTGACACTCTGAATTATACGGAGTAGCACTTTACCTGGTAAGTTAAATGTTCGTGTTTAATGAATAGGGGCCTCTTATTGTAAAGTCTTCTCATTTTGGAGCACTGGGCAACTTATAAACAAATGTGTCATATTAGAAAAAACAGTATGCCCTAACGCTATCATGGAAGAGAAAGTGCGACTTCTGGTTGCCCAAAATGCCTTAAATTTACATTTATATAAATACCTGTGCTCTCACGCTTAGAAACTGTTATTAAGTTTTAAAAAAATATATATTTTCTGCAGAAATACCTTTAAGCAGCTAATTTCACCTGGTCCAAAAGTTTAATAGCACAGAAAGAGCGCCAATAAACTTTATTAATCAAACACCTTTATTAAAATGTGTCCATAAGGAATTAACATATCCTACATTTTCTAAATGTTAAATGACAGTATGATGCAGTTCTTTGTCACAGTTGGGGGAAAAATATGCAAATAGTTCAGTTTACATATTTCTTATATGGTGTGACAGCAAACCAGTGAGTGATACAGATGTGCATGAAGAAACTAACAAGGAGCAATGGCTAAAAATATATACACAACACTACCTACATAATGCTGTTTATTTTGTTTCAACACTGTTTAGAAAAAAAAATCAGCTGCTGATTTAGTGACCCACACTACTATTTGTAACTGTTTGTTGAGTCATCTTTGTTTTAATACACTCCTTTACTACTCAACCAAGGCACACCGCAAGGCTTGCATTCCCATCTTGCAAAGAAATCTCCGTCTCTCTAGAAGCATTATCTGCAGGTTTTGTTTCTTCAGTCATGTTTAATGGTTCCTTGGATTGGAAACTCTCGTGCTCATTTACATCGATATCTCCATTCTCAGTGGGTCTATCATCTTTGTTCGTTTCACTGTCAGAGTCTATGGAAATAGTCTCTGTGCACGTACTAACTTTTAAGGTACAATTTAGTGTCTCACTGTGTTTGTTTTGGTCCGTCTTTGGAGTACGACAACTGATACCTACGGCCTTCTTAGCAGAGGTACCAACAATTTTGCTTTCCTCAAAAATCAAGTTATGCTTAACTTTCTTTAGAGCTTGCATGTCAAAGCCGAGCAGCACCGACACCTTCTTGGTCTTGCAGTATCTCACGCACGTGCTTTGCTTGGTTGCAAAGTGTGTAGCGATGTCGGATTTCCACAGCCACAGACTCGCCGACAGCTTGTCCTCTTCAGAAGAAGAAAGGTACGGTCGCCGGTTGAAGTAGGCAGTCAGGAAATTTTTCCTGGCCTCATAAGTCTTGTGTTCATAGCTTCTAGGATCCAGAGCAAGCCCATCAGATTCAGCCTTCTTTCCAAAGATGGTGGAAGTCGTCTTAGCATCCTTGGCCAGCTTTATCCTCTTGGAGTTAGACGTAGCCTGTGTTGATGGCTGCCTCTTAAGATAGCCAGCCCCAGAGGAGTTAAGTGTCAAGTCAGGTTTAAAGTTTTGGTTTGCTTGGTTCCTACCAACAGCCCTGCACTGCACAAGATGCAACGTAATTGTGGAAGCCACCATGTTGCTGGTGTACACCCCTAAGCAATGAATGCACTTGTACGTCATCTTTTTCTCAACTGGATGTATTGTTTGAAGGACTTGATGCCGTTCTCTCAGATGCATGGCCAACGCATCGGAGATAGGCCCTTTGAGAATGGTGAAACACAGCGGACACACAGTCTTCCCAACCTCACTTGTTTGCATTAGTGAAGGGATACTTCCTGCAAGAGGTTCACTTTTCTTATCGGTCATTCTAGGATCGGGTAGTTTGACATGATGTGGAAGACTATTCTGAACAGGCGTCGACTGATCTTGACCATTGATGGGTTCCTTCATGTTAAAAGTAAGAACAGCAAGCTGTACATTACTGGACTTCTCTTGTTTAATGGTGAGGTCAAAGGTTAGAGGCGATGCACCAGGGGGTCCAATAAACTCCTCAGGGTGTGCCTGAGCTGTATGCTCCATAATTTTCTCAACATTGTGGAAAGCAGAGTGACACTGTGGACAGGTTAAGCCATGGATTAACATGTGATTTAGCAGTGTATCACTGGGCAGGTAGCGGTTACAAAGCAAACATTTGCTGGTAAAGTTGTGGATTTTCATGATGTACTTGGCAAGCGCCCACACTTTTTTCGCCTTGTGTGCATTCTCAAAATGAGCACTGTATAAGTTTTCAGGAAAAAGCTCATTGCAAACTGTACATATCTTCCACTTCTGTGTTTGGGCTGTGTTTACACCAGTACCAGCATTTTCAACTGCTGTACTGTTCCTCTGTACTGGAACAGTGGCACGCACCTGACTGGCTATAATGGGAGACTGACTTTTAATAACCGGGCCTACTGGTTTTAAATAGCCAATTACTTGCTGTGCATTTGGTTCAGGTCTAAGTGTTTGAGGTCTACTGACAACTAGAGGAGGCTTCTGTGACATGACTGGTAAAGGCTGAGGCTTGGAGACGATAATGTTAGCATGTCCAATCATGGTTGTTACTTGGGCACCAATGCGCTCATGGTACTCAATAACATGCTGGACCAGAGCCTCATAAGTACGAGTGGTAAACTGGCATCTTTTACAGAGGATGTTGTTGCCAACAACAGAACTAGCACCATTTTTCACAGATGACTCAGAAACCATACCAAGATATGGTGAGACAATATGCTGAAAATGTTCCCTGTAGATGTGTCTTCTCACCACATTGTATAGCGTGTCCCGAAATGTGCATCTTTTGCAGAAATACATTGCTTTCTCCACACCGTTTCCCTGTTTGTATCTATCAAGATAAGCTTTCCCCAGCGCAGCTCCCTGTGAGCTTCCATAATTGTGCCGCTTTGAATTGGGTATGTGGAATATTTTAACATGCGTCTCCAAAGTTCTCTTGCTTGCAGTAAACGTGCAGTATGGACAGTTGAGCAGGATTTTACTGTCCAAGAGTTTCCTGTGCACATTACGGAAGTGATTCTTGTAGCCTGAGTAGAATTTGGAAGAAAATGGACACTCTGTGCAGCAAAATGGCTTTGATCTGTATTCCTAAAAAAAAAATGTAAAAAAAGATCAAAAAAACAACAACAAAAACTTTGCATTAAGAAAAATATGCACATTAGTGCATGATAATGTGAGAAAGTCTTTCAGACAGGATAAAATCTTACCTGTGTTTTAGAGTATGATGGATCCCAGGCGCAGATATCAAGGCAAAGCGTGCCCTTCACAAACTGCTCATTAGGGCAAAACTCTTTGAACTCCTGCAAAAAATTGAAAATATTAAAGACCTACTCCAATGGAAATAAGTTTTTAACATTGTTACCATGTCTGTATAGTATTTGTATATGCAAGTCTGTGTCGCACATCTTGGTTTTAAATTTGTATGTGTCCTCTCTAATCCCCCTTTTTTGTTTGGGTTTGACAAAGGGTAATATGTTTCTGATTTTCTTTTCCCCTTTATTCTTATGGGGACTGGTACTGAATTTCCCTTTGTCAAGCCAGAGCACTGGTGAGTGTATTTGTGAAAGGCAAACACAAAGAGGTTAGGGATTAGACTGCAAATTCATTCTCTGCAAACTACACTAGGCAAAGCTGTGGAGATGTATCCACACCTTTGGAGTCTGTCATTTTAAAGCCTGATGAGACTGTTTCTAAATACACACACACACACACACACACACACACACACACATATATATATACATATAGAGAGAGAGAGAGAGAAAGAGAGAGAGAACAAATTTGTTATCCTTATTACGTCCACCGATGATTAGGTGGCAATCAAAACTGCCTTAAAATTGTCACATTGGTTTAAAACACGCACACACACACTTCAAACCTTACTGAAAACTATCTTTGGACAAGTGTGTGGTATTTGGTCCATCAATGCTACCTTTATGTTATTCAAAGTTCTTATCCATCACATGCAGCTCAAAACACACTTGCTCACCTCTGCTGCCTCCTTGCAGAACTCAAGTCCAATGTCACCGAGTGCTTTTTTCACTTGTTTCCTGGCTCTCCTGATTCTTGTAAGATTGTTCACCGGGAGCTGATACATTATCTCCTGGCAGACAGATATGAATTCTTCATTATAACCTCAGGTACATTTATAACCGGTCTCACATTATCCGGACTCACTAAGAGACAACACGCCCTTTCAGCACGTGTCTCCCTCTAGTACAGCGTGTTTATTATGATGGCATTGTGTGTGTTTCAGAGCTTCAGGGGTCCGGCACTGTTTCTATGGTGACGCTTCACTGCAACCTTGTTTCTGATTGAGTGGTGGGTTTGATCAGAAAGCCTAACCACAGAACAGGTCCACGGCTTCTATTGTTCACTATGCACAGAGCTTTCGGGAATTACAGTTTTACAATACGTGTTAGCTTTGTGGGCTAGCGTTACAGTGTTAGCCAGATTTAGCAATACCTACTGAGCACAAACACTAGCATTGCATAGCTGCTTTCTTTCCCTTTTTTTCCACTTTCATTGACGATATTTAAAGTTTTACTCACCTTGCAATAAGCCAGAAGACTAACTTTACAGGGGTTATCTCACGACATTAATGGCTAAAATAAAAAACAGAGGGGCTGGCGGGACATGCAGATTGGCGGTGATGCTCCCCTCAACGCCGGTGCTCAGCAGCTCCACAGTTAGCTAGCCAAGCTATCTAGTTAGCTCGTTCATCTGCACCGCAGAGCTGCTAGCTGGGGGACGAGTGACAAAACACAGCGGTAGAATTGTGCACAGCTCATGAAAATAGTACACTTCGAAAATGGGAACCTCCAGGGCCACCTATACTCCTCCAGTTCTCTGATTTTCTTGCACCGGAGGTCAGGCCAGCTTGCTGGCTAACGCGTTGATC